ACAAGACGAAATATCTCCTGTCATGAAACAAACAGTCGTCGCACTCGCGACTTGGCTCCCAGGTCAGAGGTTGACAGTCAAAACTTCGAGGTCGTAATTAGATAATTTAGTTTATCTCCTAACCACTATTAACTTGTTCAAAGGTCAACCTCGAACAACACAGAATAACTCTTGCCAACAGGTGCTACTTCGGACTGAGCAGGCAATTGTTAAGTAAGGACTTCTCTAGACGAACGAGGACCAAATCCTGCAAGTCAGTCATCCTGCATATAATATTTCTTTTGATATCTCAAAATATTCTTCACATATTTAGTTATGGTAGAGATAAAATTACATTGCAAATGAAGCCTTCTGGTAGGGACTAATTAAGTTACTTTTGAGTAGTCGAAAAATCCTTTTCTTATTTTGTCAAAGATGTTGTTGCAGTCTTATATCTCCAGTGTTACCAATCAATTGTGTCGTTCAATATAGTTTGGAGGAATGAGGTTTTAAGCTTAATTTAACCAAAACAAAATCGGGGAAGTTGAAAAAGTTACAGCGGTTCAAAAATGAGTTAAAATAATGAAGAACTCGCATATTTTGAAATGTTTGCATAAAATGGGGAAGAATCCCATTCAAGCCACCAAAGGAATTTGTGAAGTTTATTTTTTCTAAATTTTTGGGAAAAAATCAACAGTTAATTGGTCTTAGAACTCGAAATTTTCGAAAAAATAAAAATCTTTCGATCAAGTCCGAGTTTATTATGTATTCTAAAAGCTGTATATCTTTCATTAAAATCGACTGAACGGTTTTCGAGTTACACTTGTCGCCAGGTCAAAAAATATAGTTTTGAGAAAAACGCGTTTAAAGTTTCACACAAGCTCTTTGAAGTGCCAGAGCTCTCTTTGTTATTTGTTGAATAACTCAGAAACTACATTTCGGATCAACGTAAAATTTTCAGAGAATATTCTTAAGATATTACACATAACGGGAATGCAAAAAAAAAATAATTTTTTAAAAATTCTCACTGTAAATAACTCTTTACAAAAAAAAAAAAAACGACATCGAAATAGAAATAGGCGAAGTAGTTTGACAAACACAAAGTTTTCCTAAGAACGGTTGTTGTCAAGCTCTTTGTCCACCTTTTTAATTAACTCTAACACAGAGTTCGCTTTATGCTCTTCACTGTTAGATTTGACCTCTCTGGCGTTAGTCTCAAGAGAATTAATGTACTTTTCCTAATTCGCTCTTATGTATTAGGAACTTTCTGTAACAGAAAAATACAAGATTATATTGTAGAATCTTAAATTTCTTTATGGTGCGATTTTTATTTTCTTGTCAATTTCAACTTTTCTCTTTATTAATATTCAAATTATTAAAGGCCCATCCGATTGCAATATCAGTTTTAATTCGTCGGCATCATCATTAGAAAAGGCAATTTTCTAAATCGCTATAGCATTTTTTAACTATTATCACAGAGGTACACACTTAATGTATGTGTTTGCAATATCGATTTAAAACAAAAACAAGAAAAAACGTTAACTTCAGCTGCACCGAATCTAATCTACCCTTCACTGGTGCATTTCAGGACTATAACGTATAGCTGCCACACAAACTGAATAATCGGAATCAACTTCTTGTATTTAAAACTTTCACATTTGACAATGTACGAGTATCTTCACAAAATTTGGTATATATTATTTTCTAAAGCAACAATGTAGTCTCCGAAGAAATTTTTCAGATCAGCTCACTAGAGCATATAGCTGCTATACAAACCGAACGGTCGGAATCAGGGGCTTGTATGGAAACTTTCGCATTTGACGTGGTATCTTCACGAAATTTGACATGGATTACTGCTTAAGGTAATAATATAACCTCCGAAAAAATTGTTCAGATCGGATTACTATAGCATTTGTAACTACCTCTTCCGTGTCGTCTTTGTCAGCGGCTTTGTCGCCTAGAAAGATCTTTAATCTGGTCTTTCGAATTCCGAAGCTGATTATGAAGTCAGCCTTCTGGAGAGCCTCAATGGACTCACCGCAAATGGCCACCAGTACTGGTCTGCTGACTTAATTTGGTTTTCCTCCTTGATCAGTTGCCACTCATCTATACCAGGTAAAGATTTGTTCTGCAGCTTAATACACCTCAGGAGTTTTTCGCCTGGCTCCTCTAGAGGTGGTAGCCAAATGCGAGCACGAGGTCTCTTCGGAATATCCCTTGCGGGTATAATCCTCAATTGGAGGTCTATAAGGGCCTTGCTGATTTTAGCAACGCTATCCGTTCGGGAAGAAAGGGATGGTCAGCGCTCTTGATGACCCTGTAGCCGCTGAGGGTCTCAGAGAAGTCAAACTCCAGGTGAGGACCCGACGGATTGTCGAGTACAAAGCTTAGCACTATACTCGAAAATCTGACGTCGATCCTCACCCACCTCTATGTTCGCCTTCAATCCGATTCGGTTTTTTGGGCAGAGTTTCTGGTATTTCTGTAATAGGGCGATTTCTTTTTTGTGAAGTGCTCTCCTGTTTGTTCTCTTCTAAAAGTTCTGATCGCTTCCTTTTCAGGTAGCTTTCATATTCCTCTACTATTGATTTGAGGCACTTTATTTCTGCCTCATCAACTGGGGTACCGGCTGCCTGGTCTTTGGCTATCTTCCCTAGTATGAAGACTGCCCTCCGGCACCGGCTCTTCCTCAGCTGATTCTGGAATTTCGTGCGCTACTTTTTGTATTCTCCTTTAGCCGCCAGTGAACTTTGGTTGGTGCTCATATCAGCTTTGGAGGTGGACGATTCCTCCCTTAAGTCTGCTGTTTTCATTGCTGTATCTGTCAGTATACTTGGGTTGGTATGTCCGGCAGTACTCTTACTCGTCTCCTGGCGAGTAATTCGTCTTCTTCGGATTCGGTAATGGAAATCCTGTAGTTCATGTCATTAGGCGTCGCTATTGTCGTCAATTTGGTTGTTGTAGTTTTTGTTGTGGGTTTTGTTTTATTGTTTCCGTTCATAGTTGGTACCACGAGTAAGCCGGAAAGGGTTGGACATTCGTCCGCAGAGCCGGTATGTGGAGAGAAGGCTTTTATACCTCCGACCTGGCCCGGCAATCGGAGGGGGCAATGCGCGATCAGCTTATACGGGTACCTCGACACCTTGGCTTACGATGGTATTGGTACGGGTATCCTCATACTTCAACAATAAGAGATGGGCGTAAAACCTAGGTTTTATTCATCCATATTACTCTTGTGGGAATTATGCGGTGTCCCTCTTAGTTCGTAAGATTAGAGTGAGTTTCCTTTGGGACGCACACTTTATTCTTACTTAAGCCCCTTCGCCACGACAAAGCGACCAACTTAAAGAGGACTATAACGTATAGCTGCCACACAAACTGAATAATCGGAATCAACTTCTTGTATTTGTATAAAGATCTTTCTAGGCGACAAAGCCGCTGACAAAGACGACACGGAAGAGGTCGACGACGCCAGCCAGTTGCTAAGGAATGTGGGACCGAGTACAGGAGCCCTGGGTCAATGAAGATACCATTAAAGGGCTAAACAGCAGCAACTATAACCTGGTTTACGCACTTAACAAAGGTAAACCTAGGGCATGCATTGTTATCAATAAAAGTATAAATGCATTTCTTTGTCCTAATTACAGCACAGCAGATATCACAGTGGTAAAGGTGGAACAGAAGGAAAAGCCCTTCTTCTTGGTCTCGACCTACTTGGCCCATGACGAAGGCATACCACCGGTCCCGCTCACCAGACTAGTAGAGGAGAACAGGAAGGAAGATGTCCTAATAGGGTGTGATGCAAACGCAAGGCACACCGTATGGGGTAGCTCCAGCATAAACACCAGAGGTGAGTCACTCTTGCAGTATATTCTGAATAGTAATCTAAGTATATGCAACAAAGGCGATAAGCCAACATTTATTTTCCCAAGCTCTGATAGGTTTCCGGGGTGGGAGGAAGTGCTTGACCTCACGCTATCAACAGACACAGACAGTCTCGCTGTGGATAACTGGAGGGTATCCGATGAGCAGTCCATGTCGGATCACTCCTGGATACGCTTCAGCATCCGCGAGAAATACAGTGCTTCTCTCACATACAGGAATCCTAGAAGCACAGCATGGGAAAAATTTACCAGTATAATAAAATGCCTTGAAAAGGGAGACAATAAGGGTATCAGAAATCCTCAGGAACTAGATTCAGAAGTAGAGAAGGTGGAAAAAATCTTAACCACAACTTTCAATAAATCTACTCCGCTAACAGTTTTGAAAAAGAGAAAGTCTCTTCCTTGGCGGAACAGTGAACTCAAGAATTTGAGAACACAACTAAGGAAAGCTTTCAATGAGAGTTTTAGAACCAAAAGATATTATGAAAAAATACAAAAAAGCAGTCAGGAAAGCTAAAAACGACTCATGGCGATCTTTCTGCACATCGATAGAAAATTGCAGAGAAACTGTCAGGCTGAGCAAAATGCTATCCAAAGAATATATTAATATTATCTACATTAGGGCGGAGCGAAGTGATTGGACCTCCTTGGCAAAAGAGTCTATGGAGGTACTGATTACAACGCACTTCCCCGGGGATCAGCAAACACCTTCAAAGAGGGTTCAACCAAAACCATCATTGAACGCAGCTGATTATCGAAGCCATAAAGTCGACAAAAGCAAACTCAAATATGCCATAAATAGTTTTGCATCCCAAGAAGTTGGAAAAGAAGTAAAGTTGTGTCCCTTCCAAAACTAGGCAGAAGAACACACGAGAATGCCAAGGATTTTAGACCTATAAGCCTTACCTCCTTTATGCGGAAGATACTAGAAATTCTAATAGGTCTACATGTAAGAACAATAATGGCGGATAAGTTATCGAAGTCCCAACATGCGTACGTAAAGGGCCGAACAATACACCATGGCTGCTTTTCTATGTCTAATAGAGGGTGCTTCAATAATGTAGAAATAAATGCGATAATTTATTCTTTGGCACATGGTGGCATAGATAAGACTGTGTGCAGATGGATACTATCGATGCTTGAGAATACGAAGATTATAGCTTCCTCCTCCGACTAAATGGTGGCGGAGTGAAAGCAGTAGCGTATACAGACTATATAGTGTTGTTGGTATTAGGCATGTTTCCTTCAACAGTCAGCGAGATTATGGAAAGAGCACTTCGAAGGTAAATCTATTTGCTGAAAACAATGGGTTAACTATAACAACAAACAGAACTGATGCTATTCACAAGCAGAACTAGAATCCCTCAGCTTCAACTTCCGGTATAAACGGTACTACATGCACTATATCCCCCACAGCTAAATACTTAGGGATGGAAAGTGACACCAAACTGTCCTGGAAAAAAAAAAAATAGTAATAATAATAAACAAAGCCTACTATACTTGTAAGAGAAAAAAAAAAAAAACACGGGAATATACATAAAGCAGCTATATTTACGGATAGCCAGGCGGCGCTCCTGGCTTTGTCTTCACCCAGGACAAATTCCAGCAAAGTTCACAACTGCAAGAGAGCACTAAACTCAATAAAAGACAAGCTCCAACTAAAATGATCTGTGTTCCCGGCCACAGGAACATTTTCGGTAACGAAAATAAAGACGAGTTGGCAAAGGCAGTAGCTTTCCTCAAAGAATCTGAGGAGAGGCTAATACCAAGCCCGCTAGGATCGATCAAAGGAGAGATCAACACAAAACATAACAAAATGCGTCATAACTAAACAATTATGGCCAACATATGATAGGAAACGAACCAACGACTTATTAACTAGGTCAAGAAAAAGCATCTACAGAGTAACAGCTACCACAGCAGTTCACTGGCCATTTGGGGAACACGCATCCAAAATGGGTATGCCCTACAACGACATCTGCCGTGGCTGCGGAGTAGCAGGGAACAAGGAAACAATCTTCCACTTTCTCTGCGACTGCCCAGCTCTAGGACAAACACTTGGAATTCATCAACCACCAAACCTTGAATGGATTTCCACTAAAAGCATATCGGACATATGTAGTTTCATCGAAACCTTAAAATGGTTTGAGGGAGAAGGTGAAACGTAATGGCAGATACAGTAGGTTCTGCAAATAGTGTATCAAAATGGCAAATCAAGTGCTAATTGAGCCTGATAGGGCTACTCTCCTACCTACCTACCTACCTGCTATAGTGGTCTGATATCGGCAGTTCCGATAAATGAGCAGCTTCTTGAAGAGAAAATTACTTTTGCACAATTTCAATCTTAAAAACTGAGGGACTAAATTATATGTACATACAGGCAGACGGACAGACACACAGACGGACTAAATCGACTCAGCTCAACATACTGATCATTTATATATGTATATACTTTATAGGGTCTCCGACGCTTCCTTCTGGGACTTACAAACTTCCTGACAAACTTAATATACCCTGTACAGGATATAATAATTCCACGCAAACAAATAAGTGCCATTTTGCATAAACGTGGAAAAAAAATAATTGATACGGGATTATGCTAAACAATTAATCGAAATATTCTATTATCAAGATCTAATGAAATTATTAAGCATACAATATTATTTTTTGCGATTTAAATTATCAGCTGATTCGTTGGTGGCAAACATGTTGCAAATCTATAATTGAAACCACTACCATTTATCTCTGGGGTGTGTTCGCCGCGTGAAATAATTAAAGTGCGATTGTTTTAAGACAAAGTATCTGCCATCTCTCAGTAGATAATGCTGACTATATAAAGACTCGCAAATCTATTCTATTCAGTTATTCTTTAACACATCTKGAGAAATGAAGGTCTTGCATATTTTGGCAATTRTTTTATTASCAGGTAGTTATTTGTCAACTKCGAAAAAGCTGAGTTTACTTTAAATATATTCACGCCGGTTCYKKYTTTATTTYGCAGCTGCTATTTCGGCTTTTCCTGTAGAAGAGGGCCGTGAGAATGGCGAGAATGGCTGGTATGTACCACAAGTGGATGGGTCATTCGTCTGGATGACCATTGAAGAGGGCGAGAATGCAATTGCGGAGCGTGAGAAACAGGACACATTAGAAGGCCGTCTCAATTTAGTGCCCGTCAACTATTATCTGTATACGCAAAAGAATCCAACCACTCCACAGAAAATTACAGTCACCGCTGAAACTATTTTGAACTCGAACTTCAATGCCAGCAATCCCACCAAGTAAGTGTATCGCAGTTTTTCTGTTAAGTATACTTATAACTGACATTTCACTCTAAACTTCAACAGATTTTTAATTCATGGTTGGCTTCAGAGTTACAAAGCCGATATGAACAAGAATATTCGCGATGCTTGGTTGAGTAATGGTGACTACAACATCATTGTGGTGGATTGGGCACGCGCTCGTTTAATTGACTATATATCCAGTGTWGTGGCTGTACCCAAAGTGGGMAAAAAGATCGCCGACATGATTGAGTGTTTGGTAGAGAACCACGGTCTCTCCCTGAGTGATACCGAGGTAATTGGTCACAGTTTGGGTGCTCAAGCTGCCGGATTTACGGGCAAAAATATTGCTTCTGGTAAATTGCATGCCATTGTTGGGTTGGACCCCGCGCTGCCACTCTACAGCTACAATAAGCCCAACAAGCGTCTCAACAGCGATGATGCTACATATGTTGAATCCATCCAGACTGATGGTGGACAACTGGGTTTCCTGAAACCAATTGGTAAAGGTGCCTTCTACCCGAATGGTGGCAAAAAGCAACCCGGKTGTGGTCTGGATTTGACTGGTGCCTGCAGCCATGCTCGCTCTTGCATCTATTACGCCGAAGCTGTGAAAGCCGATAATTTCCCAAGCATGCGTTGTGGTGACTATCAAGAGGCCGTAAGTAAGAGTTGTGGTGTGTCATACAGTAGTGTGAAAATGGGTGCTGTTACGAACGCTTATATGGTGGCTGGAGATTTCTATGTACCCGTACGCAGCGCTGCTCCCTATGGCTACGGATCTGATTAAGGAAATTATTTCTATTATATCTGTATATACTGCAAGGATAAACATGAGTTCGATAAAAATAATAATTTTGGGTTTTGTTTATTAACGATAAGTGATCATTACAGTCCCTGTTCCCTCTATGGTTTACTGAAGAAGTTCTTGCTGTAAAAAGTTTCATAAATCGACGCTAGCCTAACCGCCTATAGTTATATATTTCATATCATTACCTCATCGTCTGGCCAATTCACAAGTAATTCGGTTGGCTCGTTGCGGTAGCGATTCATACTATTTTTGGAGGAGTTTATAATTGATGCTTTGACAGCAGGATATCGAGTGTAGAATCTATAACGGAATCAAATCTGTCGATATTATCAAAGGTAAAAACGAATTTACAAGATATTTGCTTAGCCTAAAAGCGTAAAACGCCGCTGGGAGTGATTTTGTAACACAATAGCAATAATTTGGCATAATAGACTCCTGTAACCGTTTTCTCCTTTCCAGGTAGGTAACGCAATTTCACTTTGGGAACTCATAAAACGCTGATCAAAGTGTTTCCAACTTATTCAGAGCAGTTTAAGTCATTGTTTGATCGTGCTGTGATGTTTGATATATTATAAGTGGAACCATATTTCGTCGACGGTCACAAATGACACTAAACCTACGGATTGTTCACAACACAGCAACAAACCCTGTTGTGAARTGGTTGTGTTTGTCGTCCGGAAATAACTTTCTCTTGTTCAGGCAACGGTCTTTTACTTCCTATTTCCTAAGCTGTCGTGCGCACTTTCAGCCAGTAGTCTTCCAATATGAGATCGTAGACCTGTGTGTGACGTTTTTTTCCATAGTAGTCGTTTTCGGGATATCTGGGTGTGATTCACCAAAAACTATCGAAAGTCGTCCTGGAAGGAAAGGAGTCATCGCAGACAGCTTCTAAGCACTCTTTGTTTTCACTACTCAATTTGCCTTCCTAAAACAATAATGAAATAATCGCACAATCTTCTATGAGCCGTTCGAAACCAAACAAGGTTTCAGACAGGGCGACTCCTTATTGTGGGACTGGGAAAAAATATTTCGAGCTGCAGAGCTGAATAGAGAAAGTTAAATACTATACTAGTGTATAGCTGCTGGCGTATATCGATGATATTGATATCATTGGTCAGACTGGATACTGAAGCAAAGGGTATGTGTCTGGTAGTGAACGAGAACAAGACGAAATATCTCCTGTCATGAAACAAACAGTCGTCGCACTCGCGACTTGGCTCCCAGGTCAGAGGTTGACAGTCAAAACTTCGAGGTCGTAATTAGATAATTTAGTTTATCTTCTAACCACCATTAACTTGTTCCAACGTCAACCTCGAACAACACAGAATAACTCTTACCAACAGGTGCTACTTCGGACTGAGCAGGCAATTGTTAAGTAAGGACTTCTCTAGACGAACGAAGACCAAATCCTGCAAGTCAGTCATCATGCATATAACATTTCTTTTGATATCTCAAAATATTCTTTACATATTTAGTTATGGTAGAGATAATATTATATTGCAAATGAAGTCTTCTGGTAGGGACTAATTAAGTTACTTTTGAGTAGTCGAAAAATTCTTTTTTTATTTTGTCAAAGATGTCGTTGCAGTCGTATATCTCCAGTGTTACCAATCACATTGTGTTGTTCAATATAGTGTTGGAAAAATGAGATTTTAAGCTTCATTAAATGGGGAAGAATCCCATACAAGTCGACCAAGTGGTACATACGAGTATTTGTTTATTTATTTATTAGTATAAATATAAAAAATGTTAAAGTTTGGTTAGAAATACGAAGGGACTTTTTTGACTACCCAATATTTGCCAGCCATTGTAGATGAGTACCTGAGTCGCTTTAAGAAAATAAAAAAGTCTGTATGCGGACAAAAACAATTTCCTGATAACTGACAACAGTCATCCATAGTAGTTACAATTATAATAACAGTTATGTGTTACGCTCAACAAAGAATGTTTAATCAATGCGAGAAGTTAACTATGAAGCAGCTTTGAGCTGCGCGCTACGAAAGCTCAAAGTGGCTTCAAATGACAAAACACCCCTGCTACTTACTTGTGGCCTAGTTCCTACCCGCTTTGGGAGACATTCATTTGCACATCTGCCACCCTATTTTATTATATAATATACTACATATATACTGCTTGACTTGTTTGCTATTGATTGCGTGAATTTGTTTGAACAATCCCCACCGAATAACGGCAAATGGGGTAGAAGAAGGAAATGAGTATGCATTTGAAGCAACTACCAGAAAACAAAATCTTGAATTAGAGCATTATAAGGAGCGCAAAAGAAAACACTTTTGAGCATTCTGGTCATTAAATTCATTGCAAGCTTGCGGAAGTGTGTAAGAAAAACCATCACTTGAGAGAAATGAATTAAATTATTTGTAAATTGCTTTAGTAACGGCAGTTAAATCGTAAACGGATTTTGCTTTAAAAATTTCTGTTGATCCATTGCTGCTGGCGGTGAGTTCTGTGGCGCATAAAATTTATTTGAAGTGGCGATAAAGGCGGTAAAGAAGAGCGCAACTCATATTAGCATACGTTCAGGCGCCATGCATGTGCAAGAAAAAGAATACGCGCAGCAAAGAATGCGTGCCATAAAACATGTGCAGTCGACTCAAAATACTCAGCAGTTTTGCTTATCGAGCATTTTTTGTTATTTTTCTTCTTATTAATTTTATCCCGCTTGGCACTTTTGGTGGCACGCACCAATGTTTGCAGAAATGAGCTGCGTAAGTAAGATGGAATGAAAGATCGTAAAATCCGACGTAAAGGTGAGCTGGACGAATTGAGGAGATACGCGGTGGCAAGCTTATCGAACGAAAAGCGACGAAAGGTTAAGCGAACCGTTTGTATTGCAGAAAACCTAAGTAATTTAAGAAAAATTATGCGGCAGCACGCAAATGTCACGAAAAGTATTATTCTTCGTCATTTTTGTATTCACGCGGCCATTACTTCTATAAATATCATTAAAAACTAAACAGACCGGTAAAACCTTCTTAGTTTTTTCAATGCTGCAGCGATGACGTCGAATTCCCGAAATCACCTAAAGCTGGTTGCTGCCTCCTAATATTTCGTATTTCTACGGCGGTAAGTTGTACTTGTAAAGCAAACGCTACCTTCACGTCAATAAAGCGCTTGTGTCCTAACCAAATTAAATTTTATTGCACTGCAAATAGAAAGAAACCACTACGGCACGTACTTCCTGTGCGCGACCAAACAAGGAGCGAAAGCTTGCCAAAAAATACCAAGCCATTAAAGTAAAATGAGCTTGGCTGGTGCATTGCCGTTGGTGAAAAAAACTGAATGGATGTGAGAGCCTAGAAAAGTAGCAAAGAAAGAAAAATAAGCTCAAGTATGCCCATCTTTGTTGACGTCAAAGCGAATTCGGTTGAAAGTAAAATTATATAAGTTCCTTTCGTAAAAAAGTGGATTTAAAGCATAACCGGTAGCCAATTTCGTTTTTCGATTGTTTCGTGCTGTATCCTCCACAAATACATGTATATATTGTAGTTATTGCGAATTTTTTTACAAGCTGCACATTTAAAAAGAAAGCAAATACTTAAAGTTAAGGTGGCTCTTAAACAATTTTAACATTTAGGAATTTTAAGCCCTTTAAGTAGAATTTCAGAACTGATGTAGAAAAAATTAACGTTGAAGGAGAGAATAAGAAAAAGTATTAAGCTCTCATCATCTTCAAATGTGACAATTTTCATTCATAATGTACGCGTTCCTCCTAAACTAAGCTTAATTGCTAAACAAAAGTTTTTTTGTGAAAAGCGGGATCAGAGGCTCTTTCGTTTCGTTTCTGAATTAAATCTCTCCTTTATCAAATGCTAAGCTACACTGAGTCCAAATATAATAATAAATTTCATGTATGGAATCAAGGCGAATGTTGGAAAAGGTTTACGGTTATTCAATTTTATCAAAAACACATGCGATCGGGTGGTACAAAGCCTTCTAGAACGGTCGAGAGGTCGTTGAAAACATACCTCGTTCTGGACGTCTTTCGACCTCTTCATATGATAAAAACCTTTAAAAAGTGAAGTATATGGTACTTGAATAGCAAATGTTAGAGAGGTGGCAAGAGAGCTCGAGAGCGTGTCCTTTCAAATGAGTTTGGTGAAAATTGTCGGTATGAAACGTGTTCTTGGTCGACCCGTACCGATAGAGCTGATTTTTTTATTTTTTGGATCGAGCCAGGATTGTGACCGAATTTAAAGCCAAAAAACGAAATGAACTTCATTGATCAACCACCGTATTCAGCAGTTTTTACTTCGCGTGTTTTTTTCTTGTTCCCCAAACTGAAATCGCCGCTCCGGGGGACACTTTTTCCGTCGATCGAAGAGATGGAAAAAAATTCGCTGAAGTGAATAATTGAGTATTTTGCTTTTTATTTATAATTTCCGGATACTTTTTCGCACATGTGTTACGAGAGTGTGAGCAAAATACCATATACTCGTATAGATTTGTTAAACTTAAAAGCTAAATATCAATCAATAAATATAATCATACTAAGTGTACAAATTCACACAATTAATAAATTTCCTCAGAATTATTATATACACTTACTAATTCAATAAGTAATAAATCATATGAAAGCCAGGTGTTGAAACTCTTGCAAATAAAGAATTTTATAAAAATGCTAGTTGTATAAATTCAACGAGTAATCAATTTTCATATACTATAAATACCAAGTGCGTAAAGTCTATTTGTCTACTTGTGAAAGCAACTAGAATTTACCATATAATTTTGATATGAAAAGATTAAAATAAACTCAAGAACTCTCTTAAAATATATCCATACATATATATCATGTGTTAGACAACTTCGAACTTGCTCTTTTCCAGCATGTTATCGACCACTTATGATTTCCGTAACTCGCAAAAATTCAGCAAATGAATAACGCCATAAATATTATATAGACCCATAAATATTATATAACCCTAAGCGTTTGGTAAACGATTCACCTTTACAAAAGGCAAGCACGTGCAAGCAAGTAAATAATGACATAATGTTTGCTCCTTCCCCACTCTATTGTATTCTAGGA